TTGTCACTCATTTCAGAAAGTGAAACCCATATATTATATAGATTCATTACACATAGAGTGAAATATTTCAAGCCTTTATTTCTGTGACACCATGACTTTCCAATATTGAACTTTTTCACAATATTCTAATTTTCTGAGACACTGAATTTTGGGTTTTCATTATCTGTAAGCCATAATCATCAAAATTTCAAGAAATAAAGGCTTGAAATATTTCACTCTGTGAGTAATGAATCTGTATAATATATGGGTTTCATTTCTGAAATGAGTGACAAAAAATATTGACCTTTTTCATGATATTCTAATTTTTTGAGATGTACCTGTATATGTGCGAATGAGGCCCATTGTAAAACCAACAACGTCTTTTTCCCATTGATTCGAGGGCTGTTGTCATGGTAACATGTTCCAGCTCTCATGGCTGTGGCACCACATGGCTGGAAAATGAGCGTGAATCTCAAAACGCCTAGGCTGACATCATGGCAGAAAGGTGCAGCCACAGGAAGACTCTGCTTGCACTTCTACATAACGCAGGTTGCAAAAGACATGGGTACCTAACGCATATATAATGAGCAATATGTGCCGAAGGACTAGCAGGTTTTCACTTCACAGAATGCGTAATTGCCACAATTTCTGCCACTCAGAACTAGAGATGCTTCAATAATCAAATTCTGCCGGTTAATGATAAGCCGATATTTCTTTTTATAGCTAATAACTGATAAATTGGTGATAGTAAAATTCTATACTGTTTTGTCTAAATAATATAAAATAAAACTCTAAAATCTAGAATCAATCAATGCTACAAGTGAAGTTAGGCATTATAACATATATAATATATAGTATGAAAAATAGATTCTAATTCTAAAAAAATGTCTAATTGTTTTAATTAAAGTTCTGTAAATGAATTTGATGGAAATACTATTATGTGGGCTCACTAAATAATCAGAAAGATGGGAATTGTTTTCCAACAACTTTTCCAACTTTTTTCAGGATTATTTGGTGAATAAAACGTTAAAAAGAACACCATTTATTTAAAATAGAAATCTTTTGTAAGTCATTATTTGGGGTCAGTATTTTTTTTTTTTTTTTTTTTTTTAAGAAAATAATATATTTTTTTCTTTTCTTCAGCAAGGATGTGTTAAATATGATAAAAAGTGATAGTAAAGACTTAGAGAGATTTATTTTGAACGGCAGTGTGTGTGTGTGTGTGTGTGTGTGTGTGACACCACAGCGAAGGTAATCTAAATGTAAAAATGGGCGGAAATGAGCATAAACTTATTTTCAGTATACTGCTGTATAGTGTATATACAAAAACGATTTACATTAAAGATTTTTTTACTTACGTATTGTGTTATTTTTAGTTAGGACAAAAGCCTGGATGGAGCATTTGTGTAGATTTTGGCTGCTTGTTCAGTGTGCTACAAATAAAAGAGTACTTAATATGAGTTTCAACAAAGGCGCAGGTGGTGCAGCGCGAATCGAGCACTTGACGTGAAGTCATGCGGAATGTGAAATGATTAAATGATTGATAAACTACACATATGGATGAAAACCTGTGTGGTCTGTCTCACTGGAGAATCGCATGCTGTGGAAAAGCTTTACTCTCAATGATGGAATGGACTTCAAATTCCCTCCCCCCTTTCAAAAAGCGTTAAGTAGTAGATGTTTCACATGCATATGCATTATTAAAACGTGAATATGCATCGCTTCGACACTCAGCACCTGTCACGCTCACAGCCTTTATTTAGTATGGTTGTGTGCGGCAGTGTAGTGTGTTTCTCTAGGGCTCAGAGTCACACACCGTTCAGGCGCTGACCCTAGATCCAGGTGGTCTAGTCTATTATTACATCTATATTTGATAATTCTCAACAGCCACTAGGTTTAAACGCTTGATTTCTCTGTGCAAAGCACACAGTCCACAGCCATTGATACAGGGATTGTGGGGAAATGAGAGTCACTGTGAGTCAACACTGACTTCTTATTTGTGGCTGTTAATATCTACACGATTAAAAGTGTTTGCATCTAAAGTTTCTAATTGCTTTAATTAAAGATCTGTAAATTAATGAATTTGATGGAAATACTATTATGTGGGGCTCACATAATAATCAGAAAGATGGGAATCGTTTTGCAAAACGATTTTGGAGGTGTAATATTGGTGTACGGTATATAACACTACCATAATGGTTTTCAGCCAATAAAATATATTTTATTATTGCGATTTAAAATAACGTTTTCTATTTTAATATACTTTCAAATGTAATTTATTCCTGTGATGCAATGCTGTCTTCAGTGTCACATGATTCTTCAGAAGTCATTCTAATATGCTGATTTATTATCAGTGTTGGAAATGGTTGAGCTTCTTATTTTATTTATTTATTTATTTATTTGGATATTTTTTCAGGATTCTTTGATGAATAAAAAGTAAAAAAAAAAAAAAGAACAGCATTTATTTAAAATGGAACTCTTTTGTAACAATATACGCTACTTAAAGGTTTGGGGTCAGTCAATTTTTTCCTTCCTTTTTAAAAAAAGAAAATAATACTTTTCTTCAGCAAGTATGTGCAAGTGATAGTAAAGACTTATATTGTTAGAAAAGATTTGTTTTGAACAGCAGTGTGTATATACACAATATATAGTATGCATAGTATGGATTTTTAATGTTGGCAGTTATCGGACATAACATTAAAGCATGTATCTGACTGTACTGACCAGAATTTTAATATTACAACATTCCTAAAGTATATATTCCTATAAGTTTATATTACATATATATATATATTCATAAGTTTCTATTTAATTCTCTGGCTGTCCATTTTTGCCTGACGAATATAGATTTTTGTGCAAATTGTAAAAGGTTAAGTGGTTTACAATAATTATAATGATTTGATTATAGCATTATTACTTAAGGAACAAAATTACATAACGATTGAGAAAACAAATTGCCTTATTTTCTGCTCTTTCTTTTCAGTTTTTTCTTGATTTCTTCTGAACATTAATTTATACAGTGTAAGATAATAGGAATAACACCAGCCTCTTTAATTAGTCTCTAGATACGTGACTGAAGAGCGCGCCTCCAGGAAGTGCCGTCCTTTGCAGCCCAGTCCCACCGAGATCCGCAGGCTTTCACAGAGTCTCTATGACTGTGTCCTCAAGTTGTTGGTTTTAACCTGATTTACTCAGAATCAACAAAGGGCCTGGCCGCCACAGCGCTGCGATGAATCTCAAACAGGCACAGAGGTGACAAGCACTGTGTAAGGAGACAACAGTGGGCAGGTGTGCATGTCAGATTGACAGCGGAGTTTAAATGCAACTCTCCTCACGCCTCAAGCTCATGTGTGCACGCTCACGTTCCACATGTGTGATTCTGTGTAGGTAGCTGCTAGTCACTGATAAAAAAGAAAAAAAGCCCATTTCGTTTACCTGATGGCTGTCAATCAGTTTGTGGCAGCTCCATAGTGGACCCTGCCTGGGGGAATTATGGAAGTTTGTGTTTTGATGGCAGTTGTGAGACAGGAAAGCAATAGAACGAAACCGTCTCAGAGGAGTTAACACAGATGCTCACCTGTCAGTATCAGAAACGAGGGAAAGTTGTGTGTACGTGTGTGTGTTTTATGTGTTTGTGTGTTCTTGTATGAAGTGAAGTCAGTGATCAGGAACAGCTAGACAGATCCTGGAGCATTTCGAGTGGTCATGCCACCCTGTCTGGACCTGTTCTGGTAGTCCGTGATAAGAAAAAGTGAAAGAGCAAGTGTGTGTGTGTGTGTGTGTGCGTGTTTTAAAGATCAGTCATCAAAGACCAGGTCTTCTCAGCATAGACTTGTGCTTGCTTTGATTTAGAATAAGAAAATAACTAATGCTGTATATCTCCTTAGATCCCAAAAATGAAAATTCTGTAATATACTGGAAATCATTTATTTGCACACACATACACGTATATATATACATGTGTGTGTGTGTGTGTGTGTGTATATATATATATATATATGCCGTACATTACGGGAGTGATGGCAAATTTGTCATCCTTTTCTCTTCTGACCAATGTAATCAATCTCTCAATATTTATTATTTTTTTGGAAAGTCATAGAAACTATATTGTGGATTTTTGTGGATTGGGGCAAATGGGAAGGCAAAATTATATTTGTCATTTCTATTCACCACTATAGAGGTTTAGCCAACTATGACGACTTCCAGTTCTGAGAATCCCAGAAAATATGAAAATGGTCTCTGAACAAGGACTAGTGCTTCAAAATGAACATATAAGCACAATGAAAGTATTATAAATGTGGTCCATACAACTCATGCTCTATATTCTATATATAGTCGTTTGAAATAATATAATAGTGTGAGAAACAGACTGAAATTTCTGAACTCAAGATCATGATCAGTCTGATTTGTGATCGAATCATTCAAACTGATTCATTGAAACGTTTTGACTCAAAAGAATGATTTGTTTACTAATTGGACATCGAAGCTTCTCTCATGAACTCTAATTAATGTTCCAAGGAAAACTAGAGAGGAGGTCAATACTTTCAGTATATAATGAGTCAAATTCTAATCTGTTTATATGGCTTCAGAAGACTTGAGTGGTATGGACCACATTTATTATGCTTTTGTGTCCTTTTTGAAGTTTGAAAACTTACATTCTGTGTTCCACAAAAGAATGTCATGCAGGTATAGAATGTTAAATTATGTCAATTTTCGTTTTTGAATGAACTGTCTAAAACCAGGTCCTCCTAGCAGAGTGCTTGTGTTGAGACAGTGCTTTCATTGATTCAGAAAAAGAAAGCATCGATAATAATGTCGTGACTCGTACGTCTCTTCAGACAGGAGCTCGAAAGGTCATGTGTTAACTAAAAGAGTTTTTAAACTGAGTGCTGGTTTGCATGAGTTATTTTACAAGGGTCTTTTGTTTCCGCCCTCATATGACTGTAGTCTTCTAGAACGCTGCACTTGTCACGTGATTGTGGCTTTCTAAAATTGATTCTTATGTCTGTGTCTCTTTATAGGTTGCAGAGGAAAGCTGTGTGGATTTGGAGCGGTGTGTGAGAGAGACCCGACTGACCCCTCTAAAGGAGAGTGTGTTTGTAAGAAGATTGTATGCACGTCTGTGGTGGCGCCGGTGTGCGGATCTGACTCCTCTACCTATTCCAATGAGTGTGAGCTGGAGAAGGCCCAGTGCAATACACAGAGACGCATCAAGGTGATGCGCAAAGGCCCCTGTGGTGAGTCTAGTCACATGCAAAACCCTCTATCTATACTTGTGAGGACCGCCTGACTTTTATTCTTAAATTAAAGGGAAAATTCACAAAAAATCATCCTTGTGTCAAACTCTCTTTTTCACTGTGGAACACAAAAGAGTTTTCTCTTACAGTGCATTTAAACAGTGAAACTGTATTTTTCTTACACCAGAAGTTTTTTTTTATGCCAAGGACCCCTAAATGTGATGAGGACAGCCTTCGTCATATGTAAAGGCAGCCATACATTTTTATACATAAACATTATATACTGTGTAAGAAAAATTGTAAGCATGATATTATAAAGACAACATGTTGTTTGTAAAATTAATAATTCAATCAAATAAAATTTAGCACATTCTTTTTGTCAATGAATGTGCTAAAGCAAAAATTAAAATATTAATTAGCAAAAAAGGTACATTAGTCTGTTTCTGGATGAAAAACATTTCGAATTCAATTTAAATAAAAATATTTAAAATATAAATATTCAACCTGAATTAAAAAAAAAAATTACTGTGAATTGCAAGAAAAGTTATATTTATTTATTTACTTATTTATTGAGAACTTAGAACACTTTTGGTCATTTATTATTTATTAGTTGGCTCTTTTTAAGTTTTAGTTAGACTAATTTGGAGCATCCTTAAAAGTTGCATTTACTACATGACAGGGTCAAGTGAGATATTATATTAACACCCTTAAACTTGCTCAAACTTTTTTTTTTTTTCAAATTCAAGCTTATTTGATGCATGCCAAAAACAATAATTATCCCTATTTTATGACAAGTTTCCATATTCATGAATCCCCACTTGGATAGATGGTCTATGGAGTGGAGAATATGAGTTTTGTGTTTTCTATACTGTTCATCATGTATATTCCAATTAGTTTCATTCCACGAATGATAACTAATATGTGAAATGTGGCTCGTCATTAAGCGAGGCTCTGTGGCAGTGGGCCTGGCCAGCGTGAGCCATAATTACGTGATTTGGTGGAACATGCCGTACAAAGCCTTCAAAGAGCACTAATTAGCCACCTCACATGCTGTCTAGCAGGAAATGATCAGTCCAGGGGAATGAGAGCTCCAGCTTACCTGTGAAATCCAGCCTCCATTGAGAAGCGCATTAAAGATCACACTATCCCGGTGTGTTAATGTAGTTGAAGTTCGGCTCCATGCTATTCAGCGCTGGCTCCGCAGCAGGGCTTTAATGGGCAGTAGCCTCCCTGCTATTGCGCTAATGAAATTGACAGTGTGGCTATCAGGGGTCATATTGCTCAAGTGGGATCAGTGGCCATAGATAACGGACGGTTCAGTGTTTCTCCTGGGCAGAAAGGTTGAGATGGGAGATGAGAGTCAGGTTAGCAGCCGAGATCTACTTCGGTGGTATCCAAAATTAACCCTTGGCTATTTTTTTTTGGTAATAAATTTGCAATATTTTTAGATTACATACAGTGGTGGCCAAAATTATTAGAACACTAGTATTTGATTGTTGAATCAAATGTTGATTTAATTTAGTTAATAGAAGTTATTTGATAAAGAAAGTCTATTTATGACATTATTTTTGACAGCACCCTCATTTTACAGCATTTTTACACAAGTGCCTAAAACTTTTAACAGTATTGTAGCTTTGCAGGAAGGTCTCTTAAAGCATCTTGGAGACGTTGCCACAGTTCTTCTGGATTTAGTCTGTCTCAGTTTGTTCTGTTTCTTCATGTCATTCCAGACAGACTGGATGATGAAGAGATCAGATCTCTGTGTGGAACACTGGCTGTTGTCAGACTCCTTTTGCAAACAGAAATCTCACTGGAATATTACAGTTAATGGCAAAATGAATGTTTGGAATTATAAACTGATATTTCCTACTGACACACTACTGCAAAAGATAGAAATAACTGACTTAAAATAATTTTTTTAGCTGGTGAAAATACTAGTGTTCTAATAATTTTGGCCACCCCGTAATAGTAAATCTTATTCTAAATATTTTATAACAGTAAATATAAAAGTTTAATATTTTAGAAAAGTCTGTATGCTCACCAAAGCTGCATTTATTTAATCAAAAATAATGGCAAAAATGATTTTTTTCTTTACCCCTGTCTACAGTGTCCCATGATCCTTCAGAAACCATTCTAATGTGCTGATTTGCTGCTCAAGAAACATTTCTTATAATCAGTGTCAATGTTGAAAATGGCTATGCTGATTAATAATTATTTGGAAACTGAATCAAAAGTGGCCAAAAGAAACATGTTTATAGCTGATTAGGTTTTTTTCAGTTCACACTGCATTGGCAGGGGTGGCAAAGGGTTAATTCGCACCATTCGTTCAGTATGGGCATGGGATAAGAGGTGATACAGAAGAAGAACTACAGAGAGGTGCCCTGCTTCTAAAGATGAGCAGGGGAGCGTGGGTGCTTTGATAATATAGAACTCCGGTGGGTAAACAGAGTCTCCAGCTGTTTGTGTGAGTGAGTGAGTGAGTCAGTCATTCAGAGTCAGCGAGCGGAGGAAAGAAGTGGAGTGTGTGCGGAGCTCATTTCAGGCGGGCCGTATGCTGGAACTCGTCTGGATTGGCAGCGGCGCAGCAGAGCATTGGGCCAGAGCGATTGATCAATGAAATTATTGATCATATGTGTGCAGAGCACGTCTGGAATTACTGTGATTGCCAGGAGCGCTCTCTTTTCTCACTCTGTCTTTTTTTACACATTAACGTCTCTTCACCTCCAGCCTGACTCGGCTGATGAAAACCGCTTTTGAGTACCCACAGCACGGAGGAGGTCAAATCTGTGCATCAAATATTCACTCCCTAAACCAGGCCTACAACTTAAACTAGCCGCAGAGACTGAAACTGTCGGCTTCTGTTGTCTAAATGAGGTTATTCTGCTGTACAGAAGAGCGGGGGAGGAAAAGCCTTAACCTCAGGGTATCATGGGAAGCTGCTTAATGGAGGAATCAATATGTTTGTCCCGTTATTGACGGCTGAAACTGTGTTCCTTCACTTGGGAAGTATGGCTCATTTCTCTCAGATCCTTTACCTGCTATAACTCCAGGTGTTGATACTATTGGACACATATGGGCCGTTTTTCTCCCTTGGTTGCTTCTCACACTCTCCGTCAACCGATTCTCACGTCATGGCGTGCTACATGTGTGTTTTACTGTCCTTTAATAATGTCAAAGCTGACGTTCATCCAAGCACGTAACAGTTGCAGCAGCAGCCATGAGAGACTGTTGATTTATGATCTTTCAGCAAACACATCTTAGTCAATATGAAAGCAACTCTCTGAGTTTACCCCGAGGCTAAGTAGCATAGGGATATACTGTTTGAACGCGTCATAGTAGTGATCCATCTCAGAAAAAGACACAATGTGTTCAAAGAAATGATTGATTAATAATGCTTGGATGTATATGTGTGTGTGTATGTGTGTGTGTGTGTATATATATATATATATATATGTGT